TGCATAGTTATTGTGTATTTAAACCAATCGGGGGAGGTTCAACCCATAACCTCCCTGCTCCCAGTGTTCTTCACTGGTCCCGCAGGAGACTGAGAAGTTTCGCGCTCTTACGGCGCACATTGGAGTGTTGTGAATTTAATGTTTCCTGTTTTATACCGGATTTCATACCTAGACGCATTAAAAAAAAAAAAAAATAATCCTTAAAATAAAAAAAAAAACTATCTATAAATTCGTTCTCTTCCGAGTTTTTTATATATATATATATATATATATAAGCACATCGTTATATATATTTATGGTTGGTTTGAAGGGGAAAATATTATTTTAATAACGCGCGCGGCGTTTCAGCGGAAATCGACAGGTAGATAGATATTTACGACGATATTGTGTAAAATATTCGTATATACTGCCTGTATATATATATTCGCGACACGTGTTCGCGAGCGGCCCACGTGCCATATTATAATAAAATAACCGACATTTCTGTATTTTATTTCGCGAAATACTGAAACGTATACGTTATGAAACCGAATGTTATCTGTTTGTGTTGTTTCCCCGACTTTAATATTATTCACAAAAACTCCCGCGACAAAACGGACACGGGCTGGCTGACAACACGCCGTGTCGTTATATCATCGTAAAGAATACGGTCGGCGGCGGCGCAGGACGCCTACGAGTCGGTGACCGATTACCGAATCACATAGTCCCATTTGGCCGGAAAAAACCCAGTTTTTAACGGTTTGGTAAAAAAAAAATCCCGTTTGGTCGAATTCCTTTTAGCCGAAGAAGTCCGGGTTTTTTCTTTGTCTGCGTATTATATGTATGAAGCACACGGAACGATTACGAAACAGATCGTACGAGAACAATATTAACCACCTCGAGGGTTGGCATCAGTGACGCAACTAGGGGGGGAAGTTGATGATTGTGATCCCCTCCGAAACACGTTTGTAAGTTTTTTTACGAATTCTACGTAGTACGTTGTTGTATGATTTATATACCAACTGAAACATAATGTTTTAACATCGTGTATAAATAAATAATAACATCTATCATACAGCTATCTACACTTAAGAGGCTAAAACTTATTTAAGAAACATTACAGAACAGCAAATACTTAATGGAATAGTCACTTTAAACATACATACATTGAAGTTAAACCAGATTTAGTGATTGATGAAGTGGCGAGGCATTCTAACTGAAAGAATTAATTTTTGATTATAAATTACTATTATTATATAATTATTACACTATGACTTATGAGTAAAGTATATTTAAACGCAAAATTAATAAGAGTCTAAATTGTTTTCCAATATGCGTTACCTATAAATAAAAGTTAAATAGTTTGAAGATTTTAATCGTAAAACTAACTTTACCTTAACTCTTCCACCCCAACAAACACCATTAAAAATTGAATTTTTTTTCAAATTCATAAAACTCCCTTTGAAAATAAATCCCGGTTGCGCCACTGCAACTCTTAACAGCAACAAGCCCGATCACATCCAAACATTTTTATTTCGATTAAAGAATTAAAAAACAACCGACAACAAAATGTTAAACTTGATATTCCGTCTAAAAAAAAAAAAAAAAAAAAAAAATGTAATCTAGCTCCAAAAAACGAGAAAAATATACAAAATTTAAGAAAACAGATTAAAAACTTCAAATAATTGATAAATACTAATTAATTAATCATGCAATTAAACTATATTAATACCTAAAATGTTCGATTCAAAAATGATTAGATTCGGAAATGGACAAAATTTTGGGATATCTTTTTTTTTTTTCCTGTACGAACCGCTAGTAGTGAGGGATCTGTTTTCACGATATTCCCCACTGCTGTCAATCATGGCTTATCTAGACGCGATTATCTATCACTTCCGTCTCGGTCAAAACTAAAATATTTATAATACCCACCTTATAATTGTTATTCTATTATTTTATATTAACAAATGTTTATATATTTTTACTAAATATGTAAAATGTATTATTAAACGTATTAAATATGTTCATTTATTGTTTTTACTACCGCCATGTCTTATACATGATTAAAGAAATCACGAATCTATACATCTTTGACATAAACAAAGAAAATTCAGTTGTGGCACAATATGTATTATGATTTGACGAGATGGGTTTCGGTAAAATGGGTTTTCGACGAGATGGAATTACCGAATAGGTCCCAGAGTGATCTATAAGTATATTACATACAAAACATTATCGATTCCCCGTGGCTGGTTTACAGATGGCCATCAGTTTTTAATAATAAAATAACACCTTCCAGTTGTTTGCATATTATTACTTTGATAACGTCGTCGAGCGAATTCGTGATAATATCGCACGCTAAATTATTTTGACACTGACAAAATGAAAATCCGTTAATTGGGAGTCAAGGGTAATGCATGTAAAATTACAAACCGAAAATCTTTACTATTGACGTTAAAACTTTAAAAGTGTCCAAAAGTAGAGTGAAAAGATAATGTATAGTTTCTTATAACAGGCACAATAAAGTGCAATATTCTCGGTTTTCGGGGTCGAATATTTAAAAAAAAAAAATCGGTTTCCCAACCGATACACCGGTTCATTTCAATATTAACTCATTGTTTTCATCGACATCAAATACCTATCGGATACCAGACATCGTGTTTATATCTGTTGCGTTATATACATATATCAAAAAATCGGACATCGGTAAAATGTGATATCGAACCACAGTACTGGATCTAGGGAGGGAAATATGGTAATTGTTCCTTCCTCCCTCCAAACACCGTATTATAGTATGCTTTTATCTTTTACGTGGTCAAACATACACAAAGTATCATTGTTGTAAACGGTGTTAACTTCCCCGAAATTAACGTCTGGATCCGCCGATGTTGTTCCCTCCCCCCATTACTTCTATATACGGGAAACGTTTACGGCGGGATCGGGAACTTAATAGTACATTTTTTTTTTTTTGGACCCGGGTACTAATTCCGTTGTTCTCGCGGCGGCGGGCTTATCCGGCCGGCCAACGTGTTATACACAGATATGAAAATAATAATAACGAAAAAAAAAAAAACTTATATATATATATATTGTCGGCGGCAAAAAAAAACAAAAAAAAAACGTGGCAGCGGCGTGTTATTATCACTATTGTTATATTGGTACACGAGGCGATGTACAAATACAGCTGGCGATCGATCGTTATGCTTATTATATTATTGTACAGGTATTAGGTATTAGGAACGTGCACACGCGTTGACAGTATTTATAATAATAATATAAACGCGAGCTCGCGACAATGCCGTCAAATAAATCGATATGCACGCATTATTGTAAATTATGTATAAGAGAGTATAAATTATTTTTACTGCCGATCTCTCCGAACTCGGATTTCTCTGTCCGCCGCCGCCGCCGCCGCCGTAATTTTGGTTCAAGGGCTCCCGGAGATGACTGCCTTAATTTTTGTTACCTAATAATCAAATGGTTTTATTAACAAATCTGTCTGCTAAATTAAGTTCTTCGACTTTTGTCCTATGTAAAATTGACATGCATAATCCGGACGGACGATTTTCTTCTTAGATAACTACAAATCAACTGTCCGCAAAAAACATCCACAAATTATCGGCTGTAGTGTTTGGTACCAACGTCAAATCATAGGGTATAAATCATTACATTATATTGTGATAAAAAAACTAGCGGGATTCTATTATCACGGAGTATACTTACCGTGGTAGGTGTCGCATTGTTTACATGTTTTTAACGCGTTTATAAAAGACAAATATAAATTTTCTGTCCAAATTTCAAATCTCTACGAATATTTGTATTATTGCGGATCACAGCATAAAATAAAATTGCAAATAACACATTTCGTAAATGTTTACGTTTTTCCCCAATTATTACGAAAAAACGACAAAATCAAAAAAGCGACTCCTTTAAAATACCGCCCTAGGAAAATCTACTTCCAGAAAAAGTGCTACACTTGAAAATCGGAACGAAATTTCTTGTAGAATTTTCGTACACAGTATCAAAAAATATAATAATAATAATAATATTAAACATTATTTGAAAACGCTTCGTTTCGTTCAGAATCTAAAAAAATATCGCGTAATACAAACTGATTCTATTATCATAATTCGGCGGTTTTCTCGGAGGATTTAATGTAAATTTGATTTCTGTTTTATTTTTTTTTTCTCTCAAACGTTTATCTATGTATTTTGATTTTTAAAAAGCGACCCTCTCCCCACCCCTCCCTCCACCCGTTTCAACACACATTCGTATTTTTGTTTGCATACCACTATAATAATAATAATAAAATGGGTTTTTTTTTTTTTTTAGAACTACACCGTTTATGTGAGTTGTACAAACCAGTTTAGCATTTAGACCAGAGGAGTAGAGAACTATAATTGTGGAACGGTGTCCAATAAATGCATCATAATAATATATAGATATGATACATTTAGGTATAGATCATGACAATCGAATCACTCTGTCGATCGTATTTAGTCTACGGTATTTTTTTTTTTCGCACGAGATATTAATAGACAAAAACATAATACATATTTTATTTTCACGGAAAAAATAATGCAATTCAATCGATAATAACGAAAATATTAAATGCAACATTAAAAGCGCGTAATCGGATGTAATCAAATAGTGGATACTAGATTCGAAAAAAAATAAAAAATTAATAAATAAATAAATAAATAAATAAATAAATAAATAAATATATAAACATCGTTGTCAAACCAATACATTCGGAAATTAAACAAACAAATAAATAATATATTATATAGCGTACTATTTCTGGCCGTAAAACAATATTGTAACGCCATGGAAACGGTCGGTGCCGGCCTATAAATACGGAAAACAAATCCGTACGGTTCACAATTTTGCTGCTCTTTACACCTAACGTTTGCGAATCCGTCATATTTTTGCAAATTTGTCAACGCTCCCGTACGACCGAGTCCGTTGCTCGCTCGTTGCCTTCGCCGTCAACCGTCCAGACGACCGTGTTACTTTTCGCGATGACGAAATCCACAGCGCTCGCGCCGCGTGCCGGAGACGCGCCGGGAACCGGGCCCTCCGCTCGGGCGTGCGACGGTCGCGACGCGCACGTGTCCGTCGCGATGTGTCCACCGGACGGTGGCGTCTGGGCGACGTTCACCTGCGTACTCGGCTTCGTGGCCGCGATGATTCTGGACGGCGTGTGCCTGTCGGTGATCGCGTACGACGGACGCGTCGGCGTCGTGGCCGAACGATTACCGTTGCCGTCGCCGTCGACCGCCGCGTTGGAACACATGGCCGTCGTCTGGCTGTGCCGCTATCTCATCGGTAGGCAGCACCGTCTTGGGTATAGTTTTAGAACGGGCCGCGTAACCGCAAGGAGGGAGGGGGGGAAATACTCTCGGTCACGGCACCGTTCCAGTGACGTTCTTATTTTTACGGACCGTGCGCGCCGAGTACCCGTACCGGGCGCCGGGTACCGATTGTAGGCGCACGGTCGCACCACGACGGTGACGATTGTAACGTTGCCGGACGACGAGAAATATTTCGGGGCTCTTGAAAGTGCCGCGCCGGCCGCGTCCCCGGGTTTTATAATAATTATACCGTACAGTTCGTCGTCAACGACGATTATCGCAAAGTAATTGCGTCCAATTATCCGTTTACAGAACCGTTTTCGTGTGCCTACATCAATCGGTACGGTTTTCGCTACGGTTTGTTTTTCGGCAGTGTGCTGTCTGTCGCGTGGATCACGTTATTGACGTCGTCGTTTATCGGTGACGTCGAGCCGTCGTTTTTCCAGCGTTTCCGTTTCGTTTTGGCCGCCGCCGGAGGTAAGTCGAGTAACCAATAACGATAGACGTCCGGTACCCGCATATGCGGCGTTTAAAATCGTATTATTTCAATCGACGGCGGCGTGACAGGAGTCCCATGAGACCCCCGGGCCTCGTGGCTGTTTCCGTGATGGCGAGTAAAGGGTCACGAAACGATAATAATTATAAGTCGTGTTTCGAGAAACCGCCGGTTCTATCTATCAAAGGTACCTGTAATGTATTATGGACAGTTTTTTGCAATAAAAATGGATTCTGAACATTTTTAGCGTACTTAAATTTTATCCGAAAATTTTGAAGGCGGTACCTAATTTTTGTCCCGCGAATGAAAAAATATTCACGCCGCTACCGATTTCAATATTCACCCGACGACGACGGTTCTTACAATTCGAATTCTATAATTATTCTTAATAATTCGGAGGTTTTTGCGTGTGTGTGTGTGTGTGTATAGGTATCGGAATCGGTATGATAAAAACAGCGTTCGTCGTATTAATATCGTCGCTGTTCATCACCAACCGGAAAACGGCACACATGTGTCTGCATTTGGGAAGTTTTACCGGAATATCGATATTTCCGGTTTTAACGGCGTACTTGATAACGAACGCGGGCCATCATTCTCCGATGTATCTCCTCTCAGGTCGGTACCGATACAAGTAGCGTAACATTATTACCGTTATTATTTCGATTGTTTTCTGATTTTCTAATTTTGATATCGTGGCGCTGCGCTTAACTTGGCTGCAATCGATTGTAAGTATAACTGATTGATACGTTATGTTATTAAGGTTTAACGTGTTTAACGTTAACGTTTTGGTTGCTGGTCGCTACGCCGGTGCCATTACAAGTCTGCGGAGAAACGTTCAAAGAGAGCAATTCGCCTCAAGCGTCCGGCGAAGACATCGACACTGCAGTTGCAAACTCAAAGTAAATTGCATGTTACAATACGACGTATATTATAATTTTTTACCGTGTGCCTTCTCAAAATCTCGCTACAGTCAAAAATGTTATAGGGACACTTTATTTTGGGATTTTCGATCTAGCTGGCGAACTGAGCAATTTATTTTTGGATTTTGCTCATAGTTCTCTTAAAAAATTACAAATCTCAATAAAAGAAAATTATTTTGAATAATACTCTGTCCGCAATCATTTTACGTCGTCTCCCTTCCTCTAATTCCCTTGCAAAACAGTGGCACGCCCGTTAGCAACCTTTTTTCAAATCCAATTTGTATTATACGTATAGGTAGATTTTATGTTGAAGAACCTTGTTCTTTTTTGAACAGATTATTAAATTGTTAATAGTCATTAATTGAATTGCTTTGTTTTTCAATTAGGCGTGGAGTTGTCACAATGCTATTAACGCCGTTAACGGTGAAAATTCCGTTATACAGTTCTCATAGTTTGACAACTATTAGTTTGAACGCCAACTGGACGTCAGAGTCTAAAAAACACCGATTGGTGTGTATTCGAAACTTGACGAACATGTTTGACGACCGTACGATCGGCGCTAGGCCGATGTATCGACAGGACGTGCTGTTCAATAGTAACGGCATGTTGCTGACGAACAATTCGAAAACGGTATGAAATGAATATTACGTTGTGTATTCAGAATCTAAAAAAAAAAATTAAACTATATTACTTATTTGAAATTTGCACGAAAATCATCCGTACGACGCCGTTTGTTATCCGCGCGCAATTAACGGTTTTTTCAACATAACATTTTTCTAAAATTAATACGTAATTTTTTCTGAACAGATCGACTGCAGGTATGTTAAAATAACATCGACTTTGACTGTTGATGATGTAAATGAGGAAAAGTACGGCCGGTTCAACTTGTGCTCGATCGCCTTGTGCCGAGTTTTGACATCGATGTTAAACGTGTCTATATGGCTCAACGGGAAATTTGTCGTATTCGCAGCGAGCGAAGCTTTGATTTACAGCTCGTCGTTAATACCTTTCCTTTTCATAAAAGGTGAATAAAACAAATAATGTTTAATATTAAAAATTCAAGTACAATGCGTTCTGTAAAAAATTTTCATCTTTCCGATAAAATCAAAACAATTAAAATTTGACCGCTTCAGTACTATAGCCACAAAAGTTAACGCTGTTAAGCATATTTTGAGGTGAAAAAAAAGTAATTTAATTGGTTAGTATTAACATTGGTTTTTAATAAATTAATTCGATGTGAAGACAAATTAAATCTTAAGAAAAGTTTTGACAATCGGAATTTTAATCCTGTCAAGATTTTAACGTGACAGAATTTCAACCCCGGACTCCCTGTATAATACACTTGCGTACATAAAAATGCTCGAAATTTGATTTGCATATTCTATAATCGTATAATCCATAATATATAGGTACCGTCGGTCAGAAAACTTCCAATGAAGTTATGGTTACTTTTATCGTGGCTGGTTTCGGTCTATTGTCTGGTCGTGGTGTAGGTTTTTTATTGCACGAAACTTCGTCAAGGGCCGTTTCATTGCGCCACGTGAGCATGGTGCTAATAACTAACGGTCTATCGTTGGTCCTATATCATATCACAGATGATTTTACAAAAATATTGCCAATCATCGGATGTTATGGATTTCTATGGGGTTTGTCTTTTTTTTTTAGATGTAACTTGTTAACTAAAAATAAAACTATTACAATGATGATTTTCGATATTAGATTTTATTGTTAGAATATTAATACGTTACAAAAATAAAACTTTGAATCATTGCCATTGTTTACATAGCAAACAACACATTCAATTTTTTATGTATCAAAAATTGTCTCTATTAAAATCTAGAAAACTAATAATTTGTTATAACCTGCTCATAAAAAACAAATATATTTTTATAATGTTTTAAATATTTTTCACGTATTCCAGGTTATTACAAATCAATACAAAACGCGGTGTTCCATCATTACATTTTTCCGTTAAGAAAATTGATCAACATACGCGGACAAATTGCATTGGTCCGAGCTGTATCCTGTTTTGTAGGATTACTGACTGCGAGTAAGTTGTTTAGTTAAAATATTTATACAATACATAACTATAATGATTTTTACTAAAATCTAAAATTTTATAGGGACTTCTTACATATTTTTTGGTAGAGTTTGAGTGTTCATTTTTTTTTTTTTTTTGATTTTCCTTGTAGTTTTCTTAATAAATAAAAAAAAATTCAATTTTTGTAAAATTTTTTTGAATTATGGGTTGCCAACAGAGAATATGGAGAAAATACGACCAATAGTACTTTTCTTAGAATCGTTTTTCATTAACAATGGTTCATCGTTGCGTACATATATAAACTAAATTACTTTGTTTAACTTTCCTTCATAATTTTCCTCTTCAAACAGTAACACACCTATCAGCATTATCGGGCTTTTTTTTCCATTATAAAATTTTATATAAAATTCTAAAAATAATCGATAATTAAATAGGTAGGTTATGATAATAATATTTTTTTCGATTAGGTATCTATTTTTCACTTAATTAGATAGTCGGTATTATTTAAAACAACTTTTTCATTTCAATTTTTTTTTTTTATAAAATCAAATGATAATGAATTATTGAAAACAAATATATTCAGTGAAGCCCCGCTCTGCAAACTATTAACATTTTTTAAATTGCGTATCATAGTTAATTTTAGAAAATCTCTTTTGTATATAACTGATCTTAATTTAAGACTTTTTAAAACTAATATCAAGACTGGCAATTTAAATGGTTTTTAATAACAATATTCTCGTACCTAACCGCATTCTTTTACAGTAACGATCCTTAAAAGGACGTCCGACGTCGGCTACGTCTACGTCTTTGCTGGCCTGCTGATAGCGGCCGGAGGAGTGTGCGTGGGTTTGTTGGAGTGGGTCAGTAGACTTCACACGAACATCGCGACCGATGAAAATCCAATGTGTCCGAACATTGTGATAAATTTGCAGGATGATCGTCCCATAAACAATACTTATTATGATGTTTAACATTGAAAATAATAATCATACTACCTATGTTAGATGTTTATATATCTGTTTTGTACAATTTATTGATGTATTTATATACTTTCTACCTATGTTGTTTATTTATCTGTTTTTTACAATTTATTGCTGTTACTTGTTACTCAATTGCCCGGTTGTATGTTAATAAAACACAATTTAATAAAATTGCAACATTTGGCTTAAATCAATTTTGTGTTGTTTTCAATACAAGCAAATTTAATTTGTTTGTAATTAATTTGTTTTTAATTTGTTTTAATGTGTTTTTATATTTTATTGTTATAAACTGTTTTAGTTATTATATGGTTTCATTTTATTTATTTAAGATCATGAACTTATGTGGATACATTTTTTTGATCATGCAGAAAACGTTTGAACATTTAACTTGAGGTTCATCATAAGTATTGTTTGATGGTAAAAAAATAGTTGGTCGTAAATCGTAATGTACCTAGTAGGTTTTTTTATAAGCATATATATGCCACTCTTTATTATGTTTTCACTCAGAATTTTACTTCGTTAGCCACAATTTTATAACATAAAGATATAAATTAATTAAATCCTACTTTCACAACAGCCTACCTATGTTTTTAAATTTAATTATGAAAATTAACTTTAACATACAAACATGCATGTTGTAGGTAATTTTGGATTTGTTTTGTTGCTTTTTTATATTTTATATTGTTACGTTAAATATTTTTTTTCAAATAAAAAATATTTAAAATATTAAATTAACGTATAACAATTCAAAATCAACTCATTATTCATAAAGTAAATGTAAAAAAAATAATTAGTTATTTTAATGAAAAATTAACTAATTCATGATTAACTGAAATTAACCAAATTTAAATCACGATAAAAATGTATTGAGATAAAAACTATAACCTATTATTTGATTACCGTAAGTAGTATTTCAACCCGTTTATTCTATTTCCTGTATTTTGAAATGTTTTGAAAGGATCGCTCATAATATAACGGTAAGAATAGTTTTGAAACTTATACCTACGGGGACTTCTAATACTTTCGCAATAAGTCTAAAAGATTCCGTATACTAAGGGAAACATATGTCATCGCCTCAGGCTTATTGCACAAAAAGTAATCAACGTCCCTGTGCTATCAGGTATAAAAACTTATATATTACTACTTACGAGTTTTTGTTTACATTTTAATAAAAATCATGTTCGTCATTTGCATTGTTTTCAAGTACATATTTTAGCTATGGATAGTTTTTAAGTATAATGTCGTAATTTATTTTTTTTAACGTTTAAAGTTCACATTTTGAAGAAATGCGTTAAAATCTTTCAGACAGGTTTACATTATCTGTTTGGAACAGCGTCATTTGGCCTAACTTTTTGTCATTGTATTTTGTATCATTCCTGATTTTGCTATTACATTTAAAACATTTTAATTACTCCAGATATTTGCGTTTAAGATATTGCTATGTCTAACATTTAGTCTAGTAGTTTCGATTTATTTTTTTATAATTGAGTGAAATTAATCGTAACGACTTACAATTTTGACTAAATACTTATATTCGCAATTCATAAACTACGTAATGGTGCAATTTTCAAAATACTATGGAATTTTAGTGTTATTCATAGCTATTTGAACTATTTTTTATACTGGAATCTAAATGGAACGAAGAAGTGTTGCTTTTTTAATGATTTTTATTATTTTTTCTTTTTGTGTGAACAATTTTTCTACCAGAAAGCATGCTCTGATTATCAAGTATAGAACCTTGTCTGAAAGAAAATTTTCTCTGGGTTATAATTTAAAAATGTCATTTTTTGAAATTCTCACTTACATTCGAGATAATAAAGAAAGCCTCGGTATTTAGATTTAAAAAGATTGAAAAATTAAAAATATGGTTGTCATTGGCAACCACTTTTATTTATTTATTGTCATCATAAAGTTTTTATCATTTTAATCTTATTGAAACAATCATTGTTTCAAGGAAACGCATATTGTTTTTAATCATTTTACCGTATATGCCATATATTTTATTGTTGACAAAGCAAAACTATCTATTAAACTAAATATAAATTAATAAAATCATTTTATATTATATCATATTTACCTTTTCAACTTCCCATCTAAAGCAATGGCTTAAACATGTGCCTATTGGTATAATGTGTATTTCTAGTCGTTTAAGTGTACTTTTTTTTTTTGTAACGGTTTGGTCCAATTAAAAACTGAAACCTAAAACGTCTACTCACAAAACAGTAAGGGAAGGAATTTACCAGTGACGTGCCTATTCAATTTCAATGCGAGGTGATATCATAGTACTTCATTATCATGATTCTTGAACAAATCATATAATCTATTTATTGTGTTATATGTATGAGTTCGACAGTAAAAATTTAAAAACTGGACACAAAAGTTCAATATTTATTCAATAAATCAAGCTTTTTACGTATAACTTGGCTGAAATAAATACAATTTCAAAATAAATACCCATAGTTGCGGTCAAAGATTCCACGCAAACTACGAGCTTACTTATTTATTGCAGTACTAACGTTTTTCTTTAAACGACATAATATTACAGGATCAATACTTTTCGAGAAACAACCGTCTCATTTTACTCTAAAGTTATTATTATTATTTTTAATTACAAATTGTCTCTTTTACCGTAGGTATGCTAAATTCATTTTAAGAGGAGCATCATCGAAAACCGCAGGGAAATTTTTCCATTTTAAATCATTTCCGTGAATTTAAAATTAGTTTTTTTTTTTTATTATTATTCGAATATTCGGATCGTATAATATTATTTACGAGGACGTAATAAATTCCGAAACTTTTTTAATAACACGATATATATAGGTAGGTACTTAAACTATTATATGGGCACCGAGACTATATTATTATTATATTTATATAAAACCAAATAAACTCGATCAAAATGTAGTGTAACCGTGTATAACGCTGGGCAAATTAATGAATACTATACATTAACCGAGAAAAGTTAAGTGCATTAGAAAAAAACGTAAGTTAAAAGTTAGTTTGGAAATTACTTTATTTTGCAGTTAATTGTTTTTTTTTTTTTTTGTGTGTCATTGTAATACAGTGAAAATGGTTAAATCTTAAGTTTGTGATTTTTTTAAAATAATTATATAATTATAACGTTAAACACGGGTGGGTTTATTCCGCAAATATAGAAATATCTCAAAAATAGTTTTGAAAACTGTGTCATGTGTGTGACAATTTCCGCGCTCTCTGCGATTAATTTTTAACAGAGTTACGACAAAAGAGAAAAAATTGAAAACAAAATTATGTATAAAAAAAAAAAAGCAATAATAATAATAATTTAACTTTTCCGTTTTTTATTTCGGTTTTAACCTAATTTTCAGGGAAAGAAATTAGTTTCTCTAATTTTTCCTAGTTATTACTATGATAACTGCTTGGCAAAATAAAACAAATTACCCCTTCTATATAACTAAATAAAAAATTCAAAAAAAAAGGTCTTTTATCATATTTTAATTAGATTAAGACTTCGGTTTAAGTAGCTGTTGACAAAAAAAAAAAAAAAAAAAAAATAGTACACACCAATACATTCATAGTTAAATCGAAAATTATGAAAACATTATTGTGTAAGCCATTTTTGGTTTTTCTTTCTTTTTTTTTTTTCTTTAGTTTTTCCAACTGTTAAGAAAACTCTAAAGAAAATGACATATATAGTACACAACTTATATTATACAATTATCTTTCCGATAAGATTACTTCAAAATCGGACCAATATTTCTGGCATATTCAACAAGCATAAATAATACACACAGATTATAGTAAAACCAATACATTCCACGACGTGCTCAAAATCTAAAACATATCTTTGTACAATTAATGTGTTCTTCGTTAGTTTCTAATATACTCATAAACTTGAACAAAAAAAAAAAAACCTCACAGAACGGCATTGTACTACCGATATTCGAATATTATATACATTATTATTAAACACCTTAAACACTTTATAGTAATTGCATAACACCTACGCTTTTCGAATAACTACTATCGTCATCATATAATATTATTACGATACCTACCTACTATGGAAGGTATCGTATAGTATTAGGTACGGAATGAACAAACAATAATAACAATTACTGCAACTGCTTGCCTGAAAAAAAAAAAAAAAAACAACTAAAAACCCGTTTCCGCAATTATGTCGAAGGCCCTTTTTAGAATATTATTAGATATTATTGTATTGACGAAAAATCGATAAAATCAAATCGGATGTATGAGTGCAAAACGATATTATACGTACTATAGGTACCTATTATTATTATGGTCGTAATCGGAAATCCGTTGAAAATCCAGCGGTGGTGACGCGAAGTTTTAATAATATAATACTCTTCAAAAGCCGCGCAGGACTTTGCGTACCCCGTGTATCCTATATAGAACCGTTCAATTTTTTATAAAGGATTCGTATATATTATTCGAGAGGGCCAAACCCATAATTTCCGCCCGTTACACTTGATTTCTTATATAATATTCTGTTTATTGTTAACGATTATTGTTTATTATTAGTAAACGCTTTTCTTTTTTCTCTCTCTTTTTTTTTTTTTTTTTTTTAGCTTTCTACTACTACTACTACTATTATTATTCTATCGATAATATCGGCCCGAATAATAAAACAAACGAAATAGAACCGTTATTCCAAATTTGAATGTAAGTATAAAGGTAATATTATGGCGTACTAAACGAAAATATTATGTTTAAATGCATTATAATAATTTATTTTAGGACTTTGTCTAAATAAAATCTTTGGTCCCTGACATTTAATATTTTTTGGGAATTTTCTTTTTTTATCTAAATGACATACCTAAGTGTATGTATTTTAGTATATTTCAAGCAATGGTGTATGAAGTATTGCCATTTTCAAATTTTAGTTCAATCTATGGTATACACGGTGAAGTGTAAAAAACGTGAACATTTGAATACAGTATTAAAACAATGTTTAAGCGATTCTATAAAATTACCGGGAAAAAAAACCTAAA